TTGGATTGGTCTTTTACCTTGACTGTGGTGATGGTATCATGGGTTTTTGATATGTCCAAACTCATCGAATTATACACCTTAAGCATTGTATATCAATTGTACTTCAATAAAGTTGTTCTTTTAAAAAAATACATAATATTCAAAATTTACATAAGGCATCTTCAAATAAAAGGTAATTTCACACTCTTGCTTTTTTGGTTTATAGGAAATTGAGCAGTAAGTAGAGTCTCCCCTGTTATTAACATCTTCTATTAGTGTACTACATTTGTTACAATTGATGCTTTATTCATACATCATTGCTAACTAAAGTCCAAAGTTTACATTAGCATTCACTCTTTGTGTTGTATGTTCTATGGGCTTGGAAAAATGTTTAATGAATAGCATGTACCCACCAATACAGTATCATACAGATAAGTTCCACTGCCCTAAAAATCCTCTGTACTCTCCATATTTATCCTTCCCTCCCTCTCCTTGAAACCCTAAAATAACATGATACCTGTTCTGTCTCTGAAGCTTTTCCAGAATGTCATACCTCTTCATCATATAGGATGCAACATTTTTAGAATTTTTTTTCTTAGCAATATGCATTTTTGTGCCTTTTTTGTAGCTTGATAGCTCATTTCTTTCTATCACTAAATAATATTCTATTGTCTGAACATACCACAGTTTATTTATATATTCACCCACTAAAGGACATCTTAGTGCTTTTAAGTCTTGGCAACTATGTAAAAAGTTGCTATCAGTATTCATGTGCAGGGATCCCTGGGTGGCACAGCAGTTTAGCGCCTGCCTTTGGCTCAGGGCGCGATCCTGGAGACCTGGGATCTAATCCCATGTCGGGCTCCCAGTGCATGGAGCCTGCTTCTCCCTCTGCCTATGTCTCTGCCTCTCTCTCTTTCTCTCTCTGTGACTATCGTAAATAAATAAAAATTTTTTTTTAAAAAGTATTCATGTGCAGGTTTATATGTAGACATAAATTTTCAACTCCTTTCTGTAAATACTGAGCAGCACAATTGCTAAATTGTATGATGAGACTATGTGTAGTTTTCTAAGGAACTGCTAAACTATCTTCCAGGGAGGCTGTATCATTTTGCGTTCCCATCACCTATTGCTCCACATACTCACCAGCATTTGATGTTAAGTATTTTGGGTTTCAGCCATTCTGATAGGTATATCCTGGTATCTCATTGTTTTGATTTACAATTCCCTACATGACAAATGATGTCAGTCATATCTCCCTGTTTATCTCTTTAGTAATGCTAATGCAAATGGTACTGTGTTTTCAATTTCAAATTCCAATTGCTCATTGCTTGTGTATAGTATATAGTATTTGCCTTTTGTATATTAACCTTGTATCTTGTAACCTTGCTAAAATTGCTAATTCGTTCTGGGAATTATTTTTTTTGTTGTTGTTATCCCTTGAGATTTTCTACATAAACAATCCTGTCATCTGTCAACAAAGACAGTTTTGTTCTTCCTTCCTAAATGGTATACTTTAGATGTCCTTTTTAAATTATTTTTTTATTTTTTATTTTTCTGTTTTATTGGACTAGCAAGGACTTATAGCACAATGTTGAATAGGAGTAGTGAGAAGGACACTTCTGCCTTGCTCCTGAGCTTAGTGGGAAAGCATCTAATTTCTCACCACCAAATATGATGCTAGCTGTAAATTTTTTAAGCAAGTTGAAGATGTTCTCATTTAGTCCCAGTTTGCTGAGATCTTGATTTGTTTTAATGTAAATATGAGTATGCTTCAGGATTAAACTAAGTAAAATCCGTCTTAAAGCCTAGTTGGTAATATGTCATCCTTTCTTTTCTAACTTAAACTTCTAAAATAAGAGTGTATCCAACATAATCACAGTTTTAAATGAAGAAAACAATCAATCCAAATAACTTCCAATGAATGTAGGTAAGTAGCAATGGCATTTTCCAGTCTTGAATGAAAACTATATTTAAGCAAAATAACCCATCCAATCCTCTTGGCCAAATCACTTCTTTAAACCATTATGAAAGAAAGAGAGAGAAAAAGAAAATAAACCATTATGTATAGTAATGACTTTACAATTCTGTCTATGACACTTAGCTATGTCTCCAATTACCTCAACACATATAATGATATTTTAAAACTACTATTATGTTCCCTCTAATTTTCTTGATACAATCATAGGTGCCATATGTAATAAACATCCAAAGGCAATTTTGTAATTTGCTTCATTGGCTCTTGATTGTTTACAGATACACTGTATATCATGCCAAATTTCTCCTTAAGACAGTATCTGGACTGTTTCTGTTATGGTAAACCAACATTTGGGAAAGAATATACCAACACATTGATGGCCAGATAGAAAACTTCATGTGAAATTCCCACAATACTAACCACCAAGATGAACTCTCTAAAAACAATAAACTACTTTTACATTTTAACCTCACAAAAGTATTCATAAGTGTCCACAGAACACTTGAGAAATGCCTTCCCACAGGCACTAAATATATGAAACAGATTATAGGAATAGAAATATGGCACATTTTATCAAATTGTGCCAAAATTACTATTAATAATTAGTATTACTATTACCACGAGGTTCTCGGTTACTGACATGTCTAGAAATCTGAAGAAAGCTCAGTGTAGGCTATTACCATCCATGAGATACCTGAGCCCCTTTTGACCATGTACTCACTTCTTGAATTTTCACAGTCAACAGAGCTCTTATTGCAGCTTTGTAATATAAACTACTGCTATGTTAAATTGGTAATCTCCCATAGAGATCCAATATGGAGCCCAGGTATTTTCTAATTTCTAAAAAGAAGGGGGCATTAAAAACAAGTCAAAATGATAATACACATTGATAGACAAATGACTGCATATGGATCAAGTTACAATGAACCTGTATCATGCAGAATAAATAAAACCTTGGACAAGTGAAAGCTAGTTTCTATCATTCCCTTCAAAGTCATCTGAGTAAATTCCCCCCAAAACCTACATATCTCAGAATTTCCTTCTACTTCTTCATTGTTTTTGTTTATTCTCTTCAGCTTAAATCAAGTGAAACTTGAGATTACTTTTCACTAACCTTAAAAATGTGATCAGTAGCCATCTGGGCTTACAAAGATGGGCAGGGCCCAGTATGTGAGCCAACATACATATTTTTACTTTGCTTAATATTCTATCATATTGTGAAATAATTCTAATCTTGGGAAAGAATAGTTAAGATATTTACTGCACTCTTTCATTGACTGTAATTTCTTTTTATTTGACTTCACGGGCAACTGGTTGTTATAACCCCAAAGAATAACTTAGTTTTTTATTTATGGTAATCTGAAAATTAAATTCCTCAAAAAACGAACATGATTTATAATGATAATAAAATTAGATATTGGAAAGTAGGAGCAAGTTACACACAATGAAGTTATGGTTCTCAAAAGGTCACAACGCTGTAGACTGGTGGCCTCTAAATGCCATTATTATGACTCAGAATGTGTCCTTTGAACAGCTGAACATTATGTTACAGTTAGGGTTTAATACCTGAGAGCCTTCTATTATTTTACACTTGCAGAGGCCTCAATTCTGCACCACGTGTTCCTCAGATGTGCACACATCTCCAGACCTGCAGCAGGGGCAACTGGAAGTTAGTGAGACCCTAATAAGGAGCCAGAATACCTGGCTCTAATGCTCAAGAGTTGTGTCAATGTGAGCCAACCTTTCCTAAGGTTCAGTTTCTATTATGGAGGCAATATGAATGCTAAAAGAAAAAATTACCTTGCACATTGTTGTTATCAAGCACAAACAGACTAGAAGGGGCCAAGTCTAATGGTAAGGGAAGCTGTGGCCACAATTCATGAAAGAGATGATGGTGAGTATAACTAATGCCAGTCAACAGGTTTGGAGAACAGCAAATACTAGACTGGAGATGTATTTAACCAGTAGTTATGGACAGAAATTGACTTTTAACTGGGTGAGTTATGGAGGGGTCAAATGTTCCCAGGTGTCTATCTTGGGCAGTTCAAACTTAGGGTGTCTTTTTGTGGGACAGTGAGCATGGAGCATGGAGTAGATTTGACAATGGGGTGATGGAGGGATGGGAGTTAAAAGCAGTTGGTTTTGGTATGCCTATTGAAACCCTATGTGCAATCAGGAAGAAGGAGAAGGAGAAATAATCTGAAAACAGTAATAAGGAGTGAGAAGAACGTCACTACTCCCTCAGCCCTGAGTCTAGGGGGTTGGTGGGTAGGTGATATAATTCAAAGTAGAACCAAGCTTTAATCCAGGAAAGAAGGTAAAGGAAGTCTTCAGAGAAGAAGTTGTGGATGTGGGGAGGTCACTGTCATTAGAACTCTTTTCCCTCAGCACAGCTATGAATATAATGTCATCTTCACTAATAACAACAGATACAGAAGCAGTTGCCTAACTCTTTCTTCCTTGCATTTATATTTGTTCTTTTGGAAACATTTGGCATGGTTTCATAACATTAGTTTATACAAAAATATACTAGTCAATTTAAAGAATGCAAACTAGGGCTTCTTAGAAATTCATCATTGCAGAGCTTGAAGAAACCTCAAAAATCACATAACTCCTTGAAAAAACTTGTATTCAATGTCATATCATTAAAGTCCCAGATTTCTGAGATGCTTGGCAGCTCATCATTTGAGCATCTGCCTTCAGTTGATACCTGGGTGGCTCAGCGGTTGAGTGTCTACCTTTTGTTCAGGGCGTGATCCCAGGTCCAGGGATCAAGTCCCACATCCGCCTCCCTGCAAGAAGCCTGCTTTCTCTCTCTATGTCTCTTCCTCTCCGTGTGTGTCTCTCATAAATAAACAAATAAATAAAATCCTTTAAAATAAAGTACATATTTCTATGCCATCATAAGTAAAAGAATCAAATAATTTTCTTCATTTGTCACCACAGATTAAAAAAGAAAACCTCATCTTTTGTAATATCTGTGAGGGAGCCACCAATGTGGGAGATAACAAATTTGTTTTCTTATCTCTGTACAGGCACTTTTTTTTTAAGGTAACACTTCACAAATTTGTGTCTCATCCTTGTGCAGAAGCCATGCCAGTCTCCTTGTATAGTTCCAATTTCACTATTTGTGCTGAAGTGAGTGCCGAACTGGCACATTTTAGTTGTGTGACCTTTAGCAATTCATTTGATCCACAGACCTCCAGCTACAAACATGGAACTGAATTAAATCATTTCATAGATTCTATTCAGCTAAAAATAGAACAGGAACACTGAAACTTTGGAACAGGGGAATAGGGAATTTCAACTTGATAAATTTTAGAATGGTAAATTTGGATTTGAAAAATTAGATATTGATTTTATTTATTCCTCCAAATATTTAATTGATATATTTATGAATAAAGTACTGTGACTCAGGTCCATTGAATGAATAAATAAATTAGTTCTGGTTCTTAGTAAAGACAGAAAAAAGCAGAAAGAAATATATAAAGATAGAGGCAACTGTTAATGACATATGACTTTAAAACAATAAAATTATCATCCTCCTCCAAGCCAGCCAACACTGACAATGTGTATTTTTGTTAATAAATATAATATATTGAGGAAGGCCACTTAAAATGACTATATACAGACATATATGAAAAGATAGTATATTAGTTCCCAAAATAAACATTTCATAGTTTTATAAAACCATATTTTATATGTTTTAGTATTTTCTGATCAGACTTTCATCTTCAACAATATCTTATTTTTCAGTTCTAGTTTGGGCTTCACCTAATTATTCCTATGAAAAATATTCCTTCAGAATCTTTTTCCAGAATCCTGGACACTCTCTAAGCTCCTCTCAAACCATGTTATATATGTCTTACCTTAACATCCTCCTATAATAAGAGGAGTAGAGCTTGGAGGTTTTTAACTCATATTTCCCCTGTGGTTAAGAGCTCCCCTTTATCTCTCTAAAAAAAATGCAAATAGTTTTAATTTTGCTCGTAATCATATATTTCCACTTTGTAAGCTATTTTCTAAAATATGAATTGAAGTAATAGGAAAATTAAACAAGTCTGGCAAGCTTAGCATTTTCCATATTTAGTTGTTATATTTTGTCCTTCAGAACAAAATTCCACATAAGGTAAGGAAAAGACAGTAAATGTCAGAAAGATTATGGAGCCCCCAAAGCGTGCAGGAAGCCAACATGAATATGAGGAAATTCATTAACAAACCTGCCCAAGTGTGTTTATAAATGATTAAATTTATGGATAAAATGATATGATTCTAGAAGTTGCTTGAAAATAATCAGCGTCGAGGGTGGAGGTGACGGTAGGGAGCGGGTAATAGACTACAGATTAAAACAATACTACATACAGGCCAAGAGATGATATTTAAGCTGGGTGATGGGTACATGGAGTCTGTTATATGAACCTTTCTACTTTTGTGTATGTTTAAATTTTGTAGAATAACATACTATTCTGTTGTACTAAATGCTTAATTTAAAAATAATTAAACTGGACATTTTCTATCCTGGAATGGCTTTAAAAAAAAAACTAGAGTAAATTATTCACTCATTAGATATAAATGCTTAATAAAATAATCCTAGATTTTCATATACTACTTCCTTTATCAAACAATGTCTTAGTCGTAAAATATTCCACTAATGTTTTAAAATGCATTTACCAGACATAAGCCAATAATTGTCATTTTACCTTTTCTTCATTATTTCCTAAAGAATCATACAAACAGGCTTTGGCTTCCCATTGCTTTCTCATTAGCCCAAAACACATTGAGCCAAGATGAACAGACTAGGGCACTATCCAATCTATATTTGATTGGTGCTTGGTAAGTGCTGCTCCAAAATCTATTCGATGGATTGATGGATTAGTGAACCATGCAGATGCTCAAAATTAATTTGCTGCATTAGGACTCCCCGTGATGCTTTATTCCCTCAGTCAGCATGTATCAAGTAGTCTCCCTTCTTTTTTTAACCTTAATGATTTATTCCAACAAATATATTTTGAGCACATATAGTGTGAAAGCCAGTTTTAACCTGGTGCTTAAAATTACTGAGACTCATTTGCTGCTCATTGAAAAGCACACGGGAAGCTATAAGACAAGGCAGAGTGAGTACAATAGTAGAATGGTGAATAATGGCTCCCCCCAAATGCTCACATCTTGATTCCCAGAACATCTTAATAAGTCAACTTACACAATAAAAGGTACTTTGAAGGTGAGATTAAATTAAGGATTTTGAGATAAGGAGATTATCTGGTTCATCCAGGTTAACCCATTGTAATATAAAAAGTTCATTATAAGTGAAAGAGTGATACAGGAACATCAGAGTAAGAGATTTGAGATGCTATGCTGCTGGCTTTGAGATGGAAAGAGCCACAAGCCAAGGAATGAAGATGACTTTTGGAAGCTGGCAAAGGCAAGAAAACAGATTCATTCCTAGAGCCTCCAGAAGGAATACAGCCTTGCCAAGGCTTTGGTTTTAGCCTGGTACAACCCATTTTGGACTCCTGACCTCCAGAAACTTGAGACCTCCAGAACTTAATTTGTGTTTGTTTAAGTCACTTTGTGTTTTAAACCACTAAGTTTGGGGTTATTTGTCACAACAGCAATAGGAAACATACAGATAGGAACAAGATTAACATCAGGAACAGTTTTCTGGGGGAGATTAAATGGAAATATGACAGAGGTCTCACTTCTGCATCCTTTTGATCTATACTGTCTAGTACAGTAACCACTAAACACATGTGACTAAATTTCAACTAGAACTAAAACCAAAATTTTATATTCAGTTTCTCATTTGCACTACCCACATGTCAAGTGCTCAATAGCCACATGTGGCTAGTGGGTACTCTCTTTGACTGGGTAGATATAGAACATTACCCTCATCACAGAGAATTCTATTAGGCAGCCTGGGTTTAGATCCTTAAGAATGGCACTAATTTCTGTCGTTCCCCTGGGGTGATATGCTTTTGATTTTTTATCTTGGCCAGGGTGGAGAACACAGGGATGGGGCAAATGTAGAGGCTTCCATCTAACCTTCAGTCGGTTATTAATCATGCTTAGTCTTTTATTATCAATCCTAGCTGCACAATGGAATGCACTGGGGAGCTTTTAAAAATACTAGTTTCCAATCTCATCCAAATCAATTGAGCTAGCATCTCTAGGAGAGTTTGAGGATCAGTACTTTTAACGTTTCCCAGATAACTCTTTAATAGAACTATTACTGAGCAATAACTTTACTTAAATGTAAGTACTGGTATTGCAAAGATCTTTCTTTTTATTCTCATATAAGTTACTTGGATGGCCATTTACAATACATAATTGCTGCCAAAATAACTTGTCTAACTAGTTAAGTAAGTCTTACAATAAAACACTTACCATCTAATGCCAAGGGGTATGTCCCTGAACAAATGCAGAAATATATATTTATTAATATATTAATATATTTAAGATTACTAATATTATATTCTAGAATATTTACAATATATTATATAAACATATTTACATTATATATGCGTTAATTTTGTTTCCTTTCACCAGAAATCTACTTGACTATTTGGTCCATGAGCATACTTTAGGAATAGACATTTAAAGATTTTATTTATTTGTTTGACAGAGAGAGAGAGAGCACAAGCAGGGGGAGCAGCAGGCAGATGGAGACGGAAAAGTAGGCTCCCTGCTGAGCAAGGAGCCCAATGCATGGCTCAATCCCAGGACCCAGGGATCATGTTCTGAGCTGAAGGCAGATGCTTAACCAATTGAGCCACCCAGGCACCCGAAGGAATAGACATTTAAAACATGGGTTCTAATATCTGGCACAGATGTTGCAAATTAACTGAGATTTAACTCACAAAAGCCAGGAATAATAAACAACCATCACTTATTTTTTTAATTATAATGTCTTTTAATTCACTGATTAAAAAAAATACCATACTCCAAAGCAATATTAGATTAATCACACTACTGTTCCAGGCAAGAGGATATGAAAGAAGTCAAGTCCAAATTTAGCTGTTGTGTACCTTTACTAGACCTGGTATTTAGGAGAGAGATCTTAGCCAAATGAGAGCTAATGTCCCGTTGCCAGTATAAAAGTCAAAGGCTCACATTACTAGACTATATTGCTAGAGAACAAGGGTGCTGGTGATGAATGCAAAAGGTTATTTTTCGAGCATGGCTTTAACCACCGGCCAGCTATCAGTTTTTGAAAGATATAATGTGGTTTAGCAACAACATGCCATTGCATTCTTTTATTTACTGAGATATAACTGACCATAATATTATATTAGCCTCGGGTGTACAATGTTTCAATTCAATATTTGTATACATTGTGAAAGGGTCACCACAGTAAGTCTAATTACTGCCTGTTACCCCACATGCTTAATACAGAGGTGTGTGGGTGGCTCAGCCAGTTAAATGTCTGGTTCTTAATTTCAGATCAGATCATGACCTCAGGGCTGTGAGATGGAACCCAGCATCTGGCTCCATGCTGGATGTGGAATCTGCTTAAGATTTTTCTCTCTCCCTCTGCCCCTATACCCATGTAAAAAAAATAAAACTTAGTACAATATTATTGATTATATTTCCAACCAATATATTTTAAAATTAAAAGCACCATTTCCATAAGGGGGAAATTTCCAAAACTCTTAGTGCTAACTCATCAAACACAAGTTCTACAGAATACAATGCCTCTTTTCCTGGCCAACACAAATGTACAAAGATCCTGAGTAAAAAGAATAAAACAGAGAATACAATTCTTGGATTAGTGAGCAGAGACCAGTTCCAGGATATGAGTTGTTACATTAGAACATTTGTTTGGAAACATGTGTTCCTGGTATAATGATGGGAGCGGTCCAGATCAGAGCCCCTTGGCAGGCTATTTGAGCCCCTATAGTGCCACCCTATTTATTTTAATGCCTTCTCTAGTCCCTTATCAGATAAACAATGAAAAGGAGAAAGAACATTGAGAAGAATGCTGCTAGAATCCTTCATAGTCAGGGCTAAGAAAAATCCTTCTTCTCATGAGAGAGAGCTCAACAAAGTAATTCTCCTTCAACTGCATCTGCAGTATAGCCCTACAAATTTATAAGAGAGTTTTACCTTACTTTTGAAGATAAAAGTTAATTAACATGGTTATAGTTCT